AGAGAGGAGAGAGAAGAGAGAGAGAGACGAAAAGCGCGCGACGGAGAGAGAGAGGAAGCGAGCGTAGAAAGAGAGAGGAAAGAGAGAGGAGAGGAGATCCGAGAGGAGAGAGAGAGAGACGAAGAGATGACGAGATGAGAGAGAGCGTATGCTTGGGGGGTGGTGGGAGATATTACGGGGCGCGCTCAGATTGCAGGCATTTGAAACCCTCGCAGCGTTTGGTTGATGGCTCGCTTCCGTTGCTGGGCGGGCAGTTTTGCACAGAAGCACATATCAATTTCGGGTACATAAAGATGAAAAGCTGTTGTTTGCGTATACGCACCTTACGCGTACAAGAGACGAGGGATGACAGCAGGCAGGGGCCACGTCTCTAGAAACACGAGACGCGGTACGATATAATAGTACAGCGGACAGACACACAAGTCCATAGTTCATCAATCGCGTTTATAATATTTATGGTCGGAAAAGACACTTTTTCGTCTATTATAGGCGAACATAACAGCCGAACAATATTGTACATTATTCTCTCAAAAAATGCGTGACAGGTGATTCATCGATGCGAAGCCTCTGGCAGTTTATATGTATCCCGATGGATTTGTGGTTCATGCACAGTGGCGTACTAGGCGGAAATAATCAAATCAGCCTCACTCGTATAACTCAAGCATTGTTGCAAGTACATAATACTGGTACAGCTAAACGTATGACGCCGCGCGCTGCGTCGCGTGATAGTGTTAGCTATACAACATCGACAGTGCTAGCATCAGAACAGTGAGGAGCTATTGATTGTTGATAGAAAGCGGTGGTTCTATGATATATAGCGTCCGGCCTGACGACCAAGATTCTGCAGCAGCACCGGAGATCTGCTCACAAATCTGTGAAAACGACGACAACAGCTGCTCTCGCGACCGGCTTACGCCCGGCAGCGCACAACGGCCGGGGGTGGGGGGTGGGGGGGGGGAGGGGCGCAGGGCGCGGGAGACGATACGGCGACGGGCACGAACACAGACACGCGCCGCGCGGCACACACACACACACAACACACAACACCAACCACACAGACACACGCACGCACCACGCCCGCACGCACGCGACGGCCACAGGCATCATAGATCAAATGGCTAGTAATAGT